TTTTTATTTTCTACACAACTTGAAGTTAAAATCTCTTCATGCTCCCGCCCTGTGAAAAATGGAGGCGTTCAGAAGTTTGCCCTTGACATGGCGATGGCCGTTTCTTCCGAGGGTTGACTGCGAGCAAGCTGTTAACGTGTTTAGCTCTTTGGCGTTTGTTAGTGCCAATTTGCCATTGAAACAAGTGTGCAAAATGAAGGTGCTGGAGTGGTAACAGCGAATCCTCAACCTTCTGCGTGCGAGCCGTTTCTTTGAGCTTTGCATGAATAATTATTCAAAAGATTATTATAGAAAAAAAACAATAAAAACCAAGAAAAAAATCATTTTTTCAAGAACACAACTGTGCTTGTGTATGTTAATTACGATTTTAAATGAAAATGTTTCAAAAATTTATTACAGTTATATAAGCTTTACTGTCAAAACTAGTAACAAAATAAAAATGAAAATTATTACTTAAACAGGAATTCTATCTTTTGCCATGATTCAGAGATCCGCTTCTAAAGGCGATAATCTGAATTTTCAGTAAAATCGTTTCAGATAGTGTTATGTGTTGCACAGCAGGCAATTTCTTCAAAGATTTTTGACCTTTAGCTTTTTTATTAAACAAGAAGTCACTTATTATTTTCCAGTATTCATTACAACAAGATATATATTGATTGTTCAACATATTTCTCGTCATTTTGTGTAACAAAATGCCAGGGTCAATCAAACAATCAGTGTGGAAATACTATGTCAGTCATGTTAATGAGGTGCTCCGAAACGTCACTCGAAGCTATAAATAAACTCTTCGAACCTGACATATATGCCTTCAATTAGTATTCATCGACATTTCATGCATTTGCGTCATTTCGTAGAACGTCGCTCGAGTGGTCATTTGCGCAAATATTTACGTAAAAATGCATATTTTTAATTCATAAAACGAAGCATAAATATATTTCATGCGTTTGATGTAAAACCAAGAAAAAAAAACACTATACAGAATGAAAGTACTGATTTACAGCACTTCTGAGGGTCAGATGAATTGTCTGAGTAACTCCATGATCGAAGGCATCGGTGGGAAAAAAAGCTTCTCTACAGAAATTCGGGAAGCTTTGATGCAGCAGTGCTGTGTGCCGGGCATTAATTTCTGAGCTTCAAAAAAGTTTTAGCTACATTGTAAAGCAACTTCTAGAAAAAGTGAATAAAAAGACCGAGATGATGGACTAGAGCACCGCGCATATCTGTGTTTGATTTGTAGTGAAGTCTGTATTTCATCCTTGAGCCGTAATCAGCAAGAATTGCACTAAAGCTAGCAATATAAATAGAATGAAATGAATAAAACTGAAGCGAAAAGAAGAACGAATACAGAAAGAATACAAACAGAAAGAAAATACAACCATTTCTGCGTATACATGTTGATTACAAAAAATCGTGTTCCAATTTCTTCGTAGCATTATACGGTTCGTTACTTAGGTACGAGATCATAAGAATTTATCAAGAAAGTGAACGAAGGCTGACTGCTGTTAAATATACGTTTTTGCTCATTTCCATTTGCTGCCTTAGAATTTCAATACTATTGCTAGCGTCAAACTGATTAGCATTCTTGTCGCAGTTTTGAAAGCCTGTTTTTTCTTTTTTTCTT